GGGGGGGGGGAGGGGGAAGGCTCTGTCCACGCCGTGGCCCTTTCTCCCGGCTCAGACCCCTCCCAGCTGAACGTTCTCCAGGCGGCTGCCCGGGACGCCCTCGGGCTCGGCAGCCACAGCGGGGTAGATCTCGATCGTCTCCATGATGGTCAGGGTGTTGCCGTAGTCCGGGGCGGCGGTGGCCGCCATGGCAGCGGCGGCAGCGGCTTCGGCCAGGGCCTCCTGCTCGTTCTGCAGGCGCTGCTGCTGGTGCAGCTTGCGGTGCTTCCACAGGTTGGAGAAGGAGCGATAGGCCTTGCCGCAGTCGGCGCAGTGGTAGGGGCGCTCGCCGGTGTGGATGCGCCGGTGCTCGGCCAGCCGCACGGCGATGGTGAAGGCCTTGCCGCACTCCTCGCATTTGAAGGGCTTCTCGCCGGTGTGCAGGCGCCGGTGGTCCTTGAGGTGGGTGGACTGCCGGAAGGCCTTGCCGCAGTCCGGGCAGGGGTAGGGCCGCTCCCCAGTGTGGATGCGCCGGTGAACCTGCAGCGAGGTCTCGGTGCTGAACAACTTCTTGCACTCAGCGCATTCAAAGCTCTTGGGGCAGGCGGCGCGGCGGGGCGGGGGGGGCGGCGGCGGCGGGGCGGGGGCCTCCTCCTCTGGGGCGGCCACGGCGCCCCCATCGTGGAGGAGCTCGTGGGCACGGAGCCGGGCAGCCGAGCTGACCTTCTTCCCGCAGGTGGGGCACTCGAAGCGCCGGCTCACCTTGCCGCACTTGTGCTCGCGGAGCTGCAGGGCCGTGACGAAGGCGGCGCCGCAGCCGGCGCAGACCTGGGGCTCCCGCCCGGCGTGGCTCAGCTGGTGCACATCCAGCAGGCGCCGGAGCAGGAAGGAGCGCCCACACTCCTGGCACTTGTAGGGGTACTCGCCCGTGTGGTGGTAGCGGTGCATGAGCAGGCGGTAGGGCCGGTGGAAGTTGATGCCGCACTCCTGGCACTTGTAGGGGTAGTGGCGGCTGTGCACGAAGAGGTGCTGCTGCAGGGTGGAGGACTGGGTGAAGGCCTTCTGGCAGATCTCGCAGCGGTAGGGGCGCTCGCCCGTGTGGGTCAGCCGGTGGCGCAGCAGGTTGGCCTGGGAGTTGAAGCTCTTGCCGCACTCCTTGCAGTGGAAGGGGCGCTCGCCCGTGTGGGTCAGCAGGTGGTTGCGGACGTGCGACTTCTTCTTGAACATCTTGCCGCAGGTCTGGCACTTGTGGCGCCGCTCCAGCTTGTGCACGAAGCGCTGGTGCCGCACCAGCTGCAGGTGCTTGGAGAAGACCTTGCTGCACATCAGGCAGCGGAAGCTGGGCCCGTTGGCCTCCGCGTTCTCCACCGAGTAGATGATGGCCAGCGGCACAACGTCGTCCGGCTTCTTGGGCGCCGGCGGGGCGGGCGGGGGCTCTGGGGGGGCGGGCAGGGGCGGCTCCGGCGGGGGGGGCGGCAGGGGGCCGTGGGAGCGGCGGTGGTACAGGAACTTGGTCATGTTGAGGAAGGCCTTGCCGCAGGCGCAGCGGTGCAGGGGGTTGGGGGAGTGGCCGCGCCGGTGGGCCAGCAGCACGGCCTCGGTGTCGAAGGCCAGGCCGCAGTCCATGCACAGGTAGCGCGACTCGCCGCTGTGCTCGCTCCGGTGCTGCCGCAGGGCCAGCGGGGTGGCCAGCACCTTGCTGCAGAGTGGGCACTGGAAGGCGCCCTGCCGGTGGCACTGCAGGTGCAGCTGGAGCTGGTGTGCCGAGGGGAAGGGCTGCTGGCACTCGGCGCACCAGGGCTCCTGGCCGCCCCGCTTGGGCCGGCGCGGCGCGGCCGCCGCCTCCTCAGGCCCATTCTTCAGCTCGTAGCTGTGGTCGCTGGCGGTGATGCTGGGCTCCGAGGGGGCGGGCGCAGCTCCGTTCAGCACGCCCGCCGGCGCCGGTTGGGGGGGCTCTGCCGGGCAGGCGGGCGGCTCTGCCAGCTCCCCGGCGGGCGCAGCGCCCAGGTGCGTGGCCTGGTGCTCCAGGAAGTCCTTGGGCGTCTGGAAGAGCTGCAAGCACTCGCCGCATTCGTAGAGCAGCAGCTGTACAGCGCAGCCGTCCGCCCCCGCTGCCGCCGCCGCCGCCTCCTCCGGCTTGCGGTACGAGTGCTCCAGGTCCACCAGCGCCTGGCTCTGGCCGGTGGGGGCCGCCTCGGGGGCGGGAGGCTCCGGGGGGGCGCGGTGGGCCTGCCGGTGAGCCAGCCACACCTCCTGGCTGAGGAACAGCGCCTTGCACTCCACGCACTCATAGTGGATCTGGCTGGAGGCCGGCAGCTTGGCGGGCGCCTCCGGCTCCTGGCTCAGCCGCTTGAGGTGCAGCTCCTGGTGCTCGAGGAGCTCGCCGGGCGAGAGCAGCAGCTGCCCGCACTCCAGGCACTGGTACTGGCTGCTCTCCTGCACGGCCAGCGCCTGGTACAGCCCGGCCTCGGCCTCGCCCGCCAGCCCCACCACCTCATAGTGCTGCTCCGGGCCCAGGTGGCTCTGCTGGTGCAGCAGCGCCTCCTCCAGGGAGCCGTAGAGCTGGCTGCACTCCGAGCAGACGTAGCGGTGCTCCACGTACAGCAGCGTCTCCTCCGCCGGCTCCGCCATGCCGGGGCCTCACCTGCCGGGGGAGGGGAGAGACGGGGTGAGAGACGGGGGCTCTGGGGGGGGG